AAAGAAAGAAAAAAAACAGAAAAATAAAAAAAAAGGAGAGAACGTCGTCGTCGCCTGGCGTTTTCCTTTCGACGTAACGCCGCGCGTCGTTCGTCGCGAGAATTTCGATGAACGATCGGTCCCGGCTTGCTTGCACGATCGCGTTTACGTGTTCACGTTTCCTGGAATGTGCTGTCGAGACAGCGAGCAGACAGATATTAGGTAGACGTGGAATGCGGCGGACGACTTACCTGCTATACTCGATGTGGAGGCTCCGAGCCAAGCGTGGGATGACTCCAACAACTTGGCCTGAAACAAACAGAGAAAAGCACCGCGTTAGAATTTTGCTGGACGTACGTACGCACGCTCGAGGACGAGCGTTGAAAGACGGTCGGTTTCGACCATCGAGAGAAAGAGAGAGAGGAGCGGCAGTCTCTTCCACGCGTCTCTCTCTGTCCACAACTTTACTAATATGCGAGTTTTTCCTCGCGTCTCCTCTGGCGGAAAGGGGCCGCGCGAGACGCGGCGAAAGCGCAAGACACACGCAAAGTTGGCTCATTTGGAAAGTTTCGGCCCGCGGAGCAGTGCCGAGCGACGAGCACCTCTGCGATTTCCGCAATTTTCGAGAGATCGGACTTTTCATATCACCGAATCACTTGCCGCCGCCATCGCCATCGCCGCCACTCCGGGCTGACTTTCGAAATGAATTTTTAAGGGTCGAAGGGCCTCGCCGCTCGTCAGAGATACGCGCCTCGATCCTCTATCAAACTCCTGCAAACGCCCTCTCGCCGCCTACTTGGCCCTTGGACTACTATCGTTAATCGCGCTCCAACGCGCGCTGCGCAAGCACGCACACTCGCTGCGAGTTTCGCGCTTTAAACTTTCCTCCGCGAACGAGTCAGCCTCTTCTTTCTTCCCCTCGCCGCCCTGAGGCGTCGTCTAGCCGTTTACCTCGAGAGAGAGGGAGAGAGAGAGAGAGAGGGAAAGAGAGAGATTTCGTTCACTGCTACGATCATCCTGACGCGACGCGTACGGATAATAACGGATGGTAACGAGACGACAAAAGGGAACGACAGAGACGACAAACGACGTTCTATTAAGAGTTCGAGAGGCACAACAATAACAATAATGATAATAATCAGTTGTAACAGGCGGCTGGTACGTAGAACGACTCTGTCAACCTTGAACACATTGCGGACGGGAGACGCGAATTCGCGTCTTTCTGTTTTCAACTGTTGCGGACGGGAGACGAGAGTTCTCGTGTTTCAACGCTGCGGACGGCGAACGCTTTTTTTGCGTTGTAGGGGACACGAGGGCAGAATTTATATTATATAATATTATATATATTTTATATTATTATTATTATTATATTAAATGTAATATATTTGTAATAATATTACAATATTATATATTACAAATATATTATATGATATTATATATATAATTTATTTTATATTACTATATATTATATTATATAATTTATGTTATATAATATTATATATAATTATTATAATATTACAATGTTATATAATTTTTCAAGAAGTAGGGAAATTGTTTCCTGACATACCACACCAAGAAACGTTACTTTCATTTTATTTAATAAACTACCTCTAAAATGGAAAATAACTAGTAATTTTAATTATTAATAAAATAATACACTTGTCAAACGCTATACATTCTCTTGAAACCTTTCAGTCGTATATTAAATAATTCAAAAAATACGAGAAAATACAGGCTGTATGCTTATCAGGGCATACCGTCCTCAATGTATTAATATAAATATAAAATGAATAATAGTTGAAATCTAAAATATATAATAAATAGATTCTTAAATATTACTATGGAAAATATGTAATAATATTTAAGAACATTTTATCAATGTGAATTAAAGAAGTGCATATATGCATTGTACAAACTTTTCCTAATATAATTTATATTATATAATATTATATATAATATATAATTATATATTACAATGTTATATAATTTTTCAAAAAGTAGAGAAATTGTTTCCTAACATGCCACACCAAGAAACGTTACTAGAGGTACTTTCATTTTATTTAATAAACTACCTCTAAAATGGAAAATAACTAGTAATTTTAATTATTAATAAAATAATACACTTGTCAAACGCTATACATTCTCTTGAAGCCTTTCAATAGTATATTAAATAATTCAAAAAATAAGAAAAAATACAGGCTGTATGCTTATCAGAGCATACCGTCCTCAATGTATTAATATAAATATAAAATAAATAATAGTTGAAATCTAAAATACATAATAATACATAAAATAAAATATAAAATAAATAAATATAATAAATAATAATACATAAAATACATAATAATAAAGAGATAGATTCTTAAATATTAGTATGAAAAATATGCAGTAACATTTCAGAATATTTTATCAATGTGAATTAAAGAAAAAGTGCATATATGCATTGTACAAGGTTTTCCTGCTGTTCCAAAAATATGCGGGCCTTAGGGGCAGGTTAGGCGCGCCGGGTGCGGTACGCAATGTGTTAAGACGACTCGTACTGTATCTACGTACGTACGTTACGTTTCTTCGAGATGTCCCGGTCTGATTTATTCAAAACTCGCTGGACGTTGGCTCCAAACGGACGACGTGGAAGCGTCGCGGTAGCTTAGCTGCGGCGGCTAATTTCGCCGATGAATAATTCCAAGATTCGCCGGGCGGAACGATATCGAGTGGTATTCGCCGGGCGAAGGAAGCGATGAGGAGGGGGAGGGGGACGTGCACGCGTCTCGAGGAAACCGCAAAACGCGCGGGAACGAGGGCGAAATGCAGTGAAATCGAGTTTACCGGTACCGGTTACGAGTTAATCGCGCGCGCGCGCGCGCGTGCATTTTTCATCGTCTCGCGTGAGGCTGTCGCAGGCTGCGCCCTGAAGAATGCACACGCCGCGGTGCACACGCGACACGCGACTGCATTAACGAGAAAATCGCTCTCCCCTCCTCCTCCTTCTCTTTCCCTTTCGCGTTCTCGTCTCTCTACACACACGTTCGAACTGCGGCGTTTGCTACCGCAGGATTCAGGATTCTCGTTCCTCGCGAGGAGGAGGAAACGATGGATCGCCGAAATCCGATAAACAAAAGTGAGGAAACAGAGGCGAGCACAGGCTGGCCTAATTAAGAAAGGCCTCGGAACGCCCCCTCCTCTCCCCCCTCAACCGGATTCTCCCGGACACTGGTTCGCGGAAAATCCCGTGAACTTTCCCCCCGGGGCCGGAGAATTTACGAGGTAGTCGTCTATCGTTGCTAATTCCTGCAAATATTTGCCGGGCAAGGATATAGGCGTGGGCGAAATGAATAGGCGTCGGAAGGACGCGAGGGGGAGGGGGCGGCAGAGATCTGACGAGCGCGAGGAGGAGGGGGAGGGAGAGAGAGTGAATGTATGCACGGGGATTTGAGCGAATGCGAAGGGACGAGGACGAGCACGAGCACGAGCACGATCACGAGGACGAGGAGGCGAGTAGACGGGAGGAAGGAAGACTAGTCGTCGACGGCGGGCAGGCTCGTTCTCTCCTTCACCCTCTCCCACCTCCGCCGTGGTAGCAGAGACGCTGCACAGACGCCCCACCGACGCGACGCCGTCGTTGACGTCGTCGAGGCTCCCGTCGACCGACTGGAGTTTCACGCGGCAGAATGCACCGCGCCACGGCAAATTTCTAATCAGATTAGCGCGGATTAGCAAAGTTCGTTTGTTCTAATGAAATTCGTCTAAATTAACGTCGGAAGAGGGAACGCCGCGCCTCGCCGCGCCGCGCTGCCTGAGGAGGAACGCCGCCGAGATCGAGAGAAAAGGGCGGCGAGAGAGGGAACGAGCCGGGTACCGGGTACACTCTACGCTCCAAGAATCGTCGCTCTTCGTTCGATCCTTCGGTCCTCCTCTCTTTTTCTCTCGCCCATCTGCCGAAACTACAGCACACAGTCCTAACTGTTCGCACTTTTCCTCAGTTAAACGTCCCAACCCCCCTGTCGTTATCCTCATCGCCGATTTTTGGAATTGGGACTGTTCCCAGTACGCTGCTTTACGCGTGAAATACGTGTATAAACAAGCGACATAGCGAAAACGAGGGGTGGTGTATTCAGCGAATTGGCATCGAAAGAAAGATGATTTCCAAAAATTAGTAGGAATAAAGGTGCGGTCACTTGTGAGGGCAGTACTGTATCGCTCACTTTCCTTCAATGTCAATTTTCGGTCTCACAAACTGTCGACTACTGTATATAGACGAAGGAAAATACCCGTTTCGGGGAGTTACTTCCTCTCGAAGCGGAAAATTCGGGGGAAAATCGCGCACGTGGTGAACGACGCGATAAAGAGGAAAAGAAGGAGAGGGAAGTGGCGGGCACGCGCGTTAATTGTCGTGTAGCGGGCTCGCGCGAAAACAGACCCGGGCACCTGTGAATCCGTGCGCACGTACATACATACATACGTACATACATACGTACGTAGGCGGACGCGTGTAATCTAGGACACGCGAGCCTCACCTCCTCATTCGCACGCACGCGCTGATATTTTATTCACCGATATCGCGCGCAAACTATTCCACCGATAGTCACCCGGTCGCCGCGTTTAAGTTTCCCCCTCTGTCACCGGCCGGCGTGCGTAACCCAACGCAAACAACGCGTATTTTATTCATCGGTACGACCGGATGCGTCGAAAACATCGGAATCGCTGCGTAACCGTTCCGCGTCCCGATAATATCCTTCGGCGACAGCGTCGGAAACGCGCGTTTCGCTGCCACGGATTGGTACAGTAGCGTTCGCCTAAGCGTCCGCAATCGAGGACCGAGAATGGGGTCGTTTAAGTGGGAAGGTATTCTGCGAATTGTGCCGAAATATCAGTATCAGGTGTCACTCGCTTTGTATCGTTTAAGCGTCGTGTTTCACGCGACTTTCGACAGGTCAGGTAGCGTGGAGTGAGATGGTCTCAAAATTCTAAGAGTTATCTACATACTTTGACATTTCTATCTATGTGGTTATTCATACATATACGTATTGTCGAGAATTAATTGAAAATTGTATTGTAATGATTAAAATATAGATTAAAGTTTATTTTTATATTTCTGTCTTCTGTGGTTATTTGTAGATGTACGTATTGTAGATAATTAATTAAAAATTTTGTTACTGCATACGATTAAAATTGCACGATTAAGGTTTATTTTTACATGTCTATCTTCGTAGTTATTTCTGGATAATTAATTTAAAATTTCGCTGTAATATACAATGTATTAAAATTGCACGATTCTAACTGTCATTATGTGATTATAACGACCGGGATCT